AAAAAAAAAAAAAAAGATTTAGATTTTGCTGGACATGGTGGCTCATGCCTATAATCCCAAAACTGTGGGAGGCTGAGGAAGGAGAATTGCTTGAGCTCAGCGGTTCAAGACTTGCCTGAGCGAGAGTGAGACCCTGACTCCTAAAAAAAATGAAAAAACCAGCCAGTCACCAGGGCAAGCGCCTGTAATCCCAGTGGCTTCTGGAGGCTAAAGCAGCGGGATGCCTGCAGCCTGAGTCTGAGGTTGCAGTGAGCTATTATGCCATTGCACTCTGCTCAGGGTATAGGGTGGGACTCTGTCTCAACAACAACAATAAAAAAAGCCAAGAAATAAAAATAAAAAATAAGCTAGGAAATAAAAAAAAAAAAAAAGGAAAAGTCTCCCAGGAATCGTTAGTAGAATTTTTCTTAACTTATCACTGGCTAGAACTATGACCTACTTTAGCTGTAAGGGAGTCTAAGAAATGTGGGGAGGTTTAGTTGAGTGGTTCTTGCCGTGAACAATATTAAGATTTTTTAAAATAAAGAAATAGAGCAAAATGCCATGTATCTGTTACATGCGTTCTTGTTCCTGACTTTAAGGGGGAATTTAAAACATTTTTTTCTTTTAGAGGTGAGGTCTTGCTATATTGCTCAGACAGAATGAAGTATAGTGGCTATTGCTGGATATGTTGCTTCTGAAAACAGATGAAATAAAAATAGATGCAGTATTTGAATGTTTGTTATTGTGTTTTTATTTTTCAGTTAAATCCAGACGTAAATGTTTTCCAGCGGAAATTTGTGAATGAAGTTAGACGATGTGAAGAAATGGATCGAAAGCTTCGTATGTGAATTTTGGTCTTGTTTGATGTTCCTTTAGTAAATCATTTGAATCATTTGTCTTAGATAGAGACATTAATTAGTCATCTTTTTTTTTTTTTTTTTTGAGACAGAGTCTCAAGCTGTCACCCTGGGTAGAGTGCCATGGCAAAATAGCTCACAGCAACCTCCAACTGTTGGGCTCAAGTGATCCTCTTGCCTCACTTTTTCTATTTAGTAGAGATAGGGTCTCACTTATTCTGAGGCTGGTCTCGAACTCATGAGGTCAAGCAGTCCAGCTGCCTCAGCCTCCCAGAGTGCTAGGATTGTAGGTTTGAACCACTGTGCTCTGCTAATTAGTCATCTTAATAAAGAAAATACTATAGGAGAAAAAGGAAAGAGGAAAAATCTTTGGCTGGGTCCGTTGGCTCACACCTGTAATCCAAGCACTCTGGGAGGCCGAGATGGTAGATAGCCTGAGCTCATAGGTTTGAGACCAGCCTAAACAAGAGCTAAACCCCACCTCTTAAAAATAGCCGGGTGTTTTGGCAGGCGCCTATCGACCCAGCGACTCGGGAGGCTGAGGCAAAGGAATTGCTTGAGTCTAAGAGTTTGAGGTTGCTTAGAGCTATGATGCCATAGCACTCTACTGAGGGTAACAAAGACTGTCTCAAAAAAAGAAAAAAAGGGTGGTGCCTGTGGCTCAAAGGAGTAGGGCACTGGCCCCATACACTGGAGGTGGTGGGTTCAAACCTGGCCCCAGCCAAAAAAAAAGAAAAAAGAAAAATCCTTTAGTGGAAACTTTGAAACAATAGGTTGTAAGCTAAACACACTATGGTTATTTTTGTGTGAGATTACAATAGCAAAACTACATTATAGAATTCTGAGAGAAAGGACCCAGAACATCATAGTTTTGGATGCCAGCTGAGCTACCTTTTAGTTTGATTATTTATGAGAGGGGTAACTAACACTCACTAAGGTCCTATTGAGGTTAGGGTGTTCATGTACCTGAGTTCGTTCATTCCCCACAACATTCCTTCAAGATGAAAGTTACCTGATTTAATGATTGAGAAAGCTAAAAATTAGAGAGGTTTAGTCACTTGTCCTAGAGTATAAACAGTTGTGATGGATCAGTATTTGAAGCTAGGTTATTCTGTTTGGTTCCAAAATCCATGATCTTGGCACTCGACTTAGCCAGCTTGTGGTTAACTGATGGGTGAATTTGGTCCTCACTCTAAAAAGGAAATTGGTGTTGGCACCTGAAACTTTTTTCTTTTGGTGTTTTGGGCCCTTATACATTTTCAGCATTTTTATTTTTATATTTTATACTTAAAACTGGCCTGATTGTTTCAAATGTAGTGAATCTCTTTTGATCTGGAGTTGTCTCACTAGTGCGTTAGTTGTCAAATTCGATTGAATAGTACTCTTTATTTATAGCTCTGCTTTTCCAGAGCTGTAACCAGAATTGTAATGCTGTGGGGTGGCAGCTGCAGAGGGTGGAGAGTTGAAGCAGATGAAAGCCGGTGTTAAGGCCAAAAGAAGAAAGAAGGGACTTGTGGGATGAACACCCTCTTTGGAGTAGCTTTAGAGAAAGTGAAGTCAGAGAAAAAGGGATGTGTAAAAAAAAGGAGGCTTCTTTTATATAAAAGTATCTTAGAATGAAACTCTTTGTAGCCAGGTTTGAGATCTTATTTTTTGCCTCAAATAATGACAATGCTAGGCATGTGCAGCTAGACATGAATGTTTTGACATTATCCTTTTAGGATTTGTTGAAAAGGAGATAAGAAAAGCTAACATTCCAATTATGGACACTGGTGAAAACCCAGAGGTGCCCTTCCCACGGGACATGATTGACTTAGAGGTAAGTAGTTTTTCTGAGAAAGCCGGATAAGTTTCTTTCTACTTAATTGCAGAAATTACTTTCCATAGTGGTTGGAGAATAGAGTAATTCTTGATAATTTTGTCAGCATTATCTGTTGATCTTAAGTTTCTTGTAGGTGGGACTGAGTGAATCTTTTTTGTGATATCAAAACAGGACTCAAATGATATATGTCACTGAATAAATATTTATTGGCTTGTTGAAACTTTATTGGAGTAATGTTAAATTACATAGTAGTTTATTAACCTTGTAGACGAAATGAACAGCCAGTGGGCTTTTCAGTATTTATTTTATCCAACTGAAATCCCCCAAGAAATTTACCAAGTATACAATAGAATCTATAGACAAAGAAAGACTGTTTTAAGCAAAAGAATTTTCATAAAGGAAATTGCTTTGATAAAACCACAGTGTTTGCTGGAGAGGGGTAAGGTACCTTTGAACTGTCAATGTGGCAATAGTTCTGTGGAGTGAATTCATTTAATAACTTTCAGAGCAAGCATGTTAAGTTTAGCTTGAGTTTTCTTTTGTTCTTCTAGGCTAATTTTGAGAAGATTGAAAATGAACTGAAAGAAATCAACACAAACCAGGAAGCTCTGAAGAGAAACTTCCTGGAGCTGACTGAATTAAAATTTATACTTCGCAAAACTCAGCAGTTTTTTGATGAGGTCAGACTATTGTTTCTTTTAGTATTTGAGCAGCTGATACTATACTCATACAAGTGGGCCATATTTTTATTCCAGTAATTATTTTAATTTGCTATTTTGGAAGCAATACCATTTTCACACCCTTTTTTAGTTGAAGAAATGTCAGATTATGTTCCATTTTTCATGCAGTACATAGCCAGCCATGGTTTTGTATTTTTTCACATTTTCTGCAATTTTTCATCTCAAGATGGAGGAAACCCTGAAGTAGTCATATAAACATAGTATAAATTTTTACATTTTATTTATACTTACATATTACAAGGTAAGTATATACTTAAGGTTAAAGTTAAAGAAACAAACATTTGTTTATATACAAAATTATAACAAAGGTTTAATTGCCAAAACTTTTGTCAATAAACTTTATTTTCTGTGTTTTCTTTTTTTTGAGACAGAGTCTCACTTGTTGCCCTTGGTAGAGTGCCATGGCATGATAGCCTCCAGCAAGTTCAAGGGGAAGTTCTCTTGGGCTCAAGTGATCCTCTTACCTCAGCCTTCCAAGTGGCTGGGACTACATGTGCTTGACACAACGCCTGACTATTTTTAGAGATAGGGTCTCACTCTGCCTTAGGCTGGTCTTGAACCTGTGAGCTCAGGCAGTCCACCTGTCTTAGCCTTCCAGAGTGCTGGGATTACAGGCCTCAGCCACTGCACCCGGCTTACCCTATGTTTTCTTACCAACTTTTAAGCATAGTTTCTGATACTTCAGATAGCACATGTCATACTGATTTTTCAAAAGTTTTTCACTGTGTTATATGGAAATATTTGTAGGATGCTTGTTTGAAACTCCTGGATTGTCACATAAGCTTAACTGTATTACCTTATAGGGAAAAATGTTAAGTTCCAGGGTTAAA